CTGTTCATCTAAGGTCACACAGTTAGCAAAGTGCTGAGACCAGTTTCAGCCCTGGTTCCCTGGCCCCCAGGTCCATTCTCTTCCCCACCCCTTGCCCATACAGGCGTGGTTGAGAATGTCCTGTGATGGTTTCAGTGCTGGACATTGTGTGGAGAGCTTTATTCTCTTGTGGTCATTGGGGCCTGTGCATCACTGTGCGGGCCCAAGCCCTGCCTGTCACTGCAGAGCCAGGGAGGCAGAGATTAGCTTAGTTTTTGCAGGTGATGTGGGAAGAGGTGCCGGAGGAATCCTGCGGCTATGGCCCTGACAGCTCAGCAGAGGAGCCAGGCTGGTGTCCACCTGCTCCCTGCACCGTCGGACCTTTCTGTTCTCTAATGTTCCTCTGCCTGTAGCACTGTACTGTGGGCCGGGGCTCCTTGGGGTGCTGGCTTGATGAAGCCCTCCCTTGCTCAGAGGCCTTGCTCAGAGGTGGCCCAGCAGGCCTCCAGTGGAGAGCAGTCTACTTGTCAGATGAGGGAAACCTGAGCAGTGTTGGCTGTTTAATCTATTGGAGAGGTGAGAGCAGGAAGGGACCGTGTTTGCCTCCTTGTTTTCCAGAAACTCTTAGAAGTGGAATGAAGCCTCCCAGATCACTGAGTGAGGGAGAGGCAAGGGCAAGACTGGATCTCCTTTGGGACCCTGCCGCTTCCTGGCAGTGTGGGCTTGAGCAAGCCCCTTAAGGTCCCTGAGCCCCAGCCAGATTCCTCCTTTGTAATGCAGGAGAGTTTGTAAATACCCTGGTGAGGACCTGAAGGGTTATTGTGAGGAACTCTGTCCCTTCAGGCGGAGTGCCTGGCAGCCCATTGTTGGCCATTATAAAGAGTAATAAAGATGCATAGCACACAAGGGAAGGCAAGGGCCTTCCACCAAGGGCACTGACTAGAGAATCAGGGCAGGGAGAGAAGAGTGATGGCTGGTAGCTGTGGCACCACAGGGGGACTGGAGGGAGAGGGACTGCGGAGGAGGACCTAAAATGGGAGTTAACTCCATCTGCCCTGCCTTTTTGAGGTCCTTGGGAAACTGCAGGTGGGATAGGTGGCATGTTGGTGGAACCTGGAAGTGCCCAGGGGATGGAGGAAGGAGGGAGGGAAGCTGAGAGTCTGCCCTGCAGACCGCCCTGGCCCGGGTCCCACCGGGCTGTCTGCATTCCTGGCACTGCTCACTCTCCATATGGCAGTCACTGGAGGTTGGTGGCTACTCCTAGGAGACCTGAGACTGCTTCCTCCGCCTTGGGAGGGGGGAGAAAGCAAAGCTGAGCGAGTAATTATAGACAGCCATGCGCCAGGCCAGCCCAAACCAGTTCCCTCTATTCCTGGGCATGGCTCAGAGCCGCTGGTTGGGGAGAGCCAAGCAGAGGCAGCTTGGGGGAGGTCAGTGGGGGAGGGACAGTCAGCTGTCACATGTGCTGCCACCCTGGCTCTTCAGAAGAGACAGACCCAGCTTGATTTTCTGGATCTTGTGCAGGGGGCAAAGGGAGAACGCTTGGTTTTCTCACCTTGGGGAGTTTGTGGTTTTCCTCATGGAGGCCAACTTTAGATGAGTGACAGGAGCGGACCTGACTGGGGAGAAAAATCCTGTAGTAACCCATGCAGATTTACTGGAGGGGAGGGGGCAACTTGGTAGAGCAGTACAGATGGGAACTTTTTCCAGGCACTCTCCCTGCCAGAAACCCTCCTGTTGTATTAGAATATGGCCTAAACTCTTCTCCTGGCCTCCATATAGCATGGGGGCTACCCTGCCTGCCTCTCCAGCCTCATTGCCTACCACTCCCTGCACCATAGCCATCCTGGCTCACGTCTTTTCCTTAATTGAACTGACCAAGCTTGTTTCTGTCTCAGGGCCTTTGCACATGCTTTGCTGCGTAGAATGCTCTTCCTCTTTTCATGGATGGCTCCTTAGTCATCATAGGGAACTAAGCTCAAATCTTACATGCCTGACCTGCCCATTCAAAGCCCTTCCCAGCCCTCTCATGTTTAATCACTCTGAAATTGTCTTGCTGGTTTCCTGTGTATAGAGGACCAGCTTCTTTTCCTTTGTTTACTATTATGTCCAGTGCCTGGCACATCGTAAATACTCAGACATTTGTTCCCTGGATGAACAGCTTCTCCCTTCAGGATCTGCCAGTGACCCTAGGCAAATCACTTTCCCCTTTTGGTGACTCAACTTCCATCTCTAAAAGAAGAGGATGGAAGCCCAGAGATTCCCCTGTTATCACAGTGGAAATGACTAGGTGGAGACCGGCCTCGAAGCCTAAGCAGGTGATAATCCCTCTGGCTTTTCCACCCCGCCTTAGTCATTGACCCAGCACAGGGTTCTCCTAGCTTAGTCTGGGGTCATAGAATTTCAGCCCAGCAGCTGACAGGCTTTGTGTTCTGTGTCCACTCTGTCCCACTGAGCTGAAACAAACAAAACAGCTGGGCTGGCTCTGCCCATTGTTGGTCACCCGGCTTGGGACCTCTCAGTGGGATGGGCCACTTCTGCCCATCCAGAAGTGGCCTAAGCGTTTTCAGAGATGGTCTGGGCCTGGATAGGACAGATTGCATCCTCAAGGAAGGAAAGAATCTGTGGGCTGGGCAGAGCTATGATGGCGATCTGTGAATGCATCAGTCTCCTTTAAGAGAACATTCCAGAGAAGGTCCCCAGGGGGAAGTTTGCCTTCTGGCCCCAAAGGAATCTTTTGAAATCTCTTCTGCCAGAAGCTTGTGAAAGTGCCTCACCTCTCCAAGGCCAGGAGTGGTTTCTGAAGAAGGCACTTCAAACGGGGGCCTCAGGTTCAATGTTGGGCTAGCTGGGGTGAGGTCTGGGGAGGGGAAAGCTCATTGCTCAGGGACACTTCCTGAGGACAGCAGAAAGTCTGGGAGACTGTGTCAGCACAGCTGCATAAGGCAAAGGGCAGGCTTTTCACCTAAAGAAGAACCTTATTGGTGTGATTTGGGACTTGGGAGGCAGGACTGCAGTCCCAGCCCCCCTCCCCACCCCTACTTAGCCATTACCGGAGGTATCTTCCAGTTGAAGTCACCTGACCTGGGACACAGGTCACTGCTGGCTGCTTTCCAAGTTAAGTCAGCTTTTCCCCTCCCGAACTCACCTGATCACCTGAATCATCTGGGATCATTGTTAAAAATCCTGCTTCTGTGCCCCACCCAGACCATCCTCCAGGGAGGGTAAAATCTCCAGGGAGGTTAGCTGTGGGCTCTGATTTGATTATTGTAAGGAGCCCCTCATATGATTCAAAAGATGGGTGAGGTGGACTACGACACTATCAGTGCAGTGAAGGTGTGCTCTGAACACAGCTCCGAAATTACCCTAGAGGCCCTTGCCAGCTGGTATGGTGAGTTTCCAGGGCCACTTGACAGCGAAGATGATATGTGCAGCTTTTAATTGGAAGAGTCCCCCTCTTCCTTCAAAACCAAATGTTGCTTGATGTCAGTGAAGAAAGAATCTGAACTCTATTTGGGGGATTCCTGAGTGTGTGGATTTTATTTTACTGATTTTTGTGGGCAGTGGAGTTTGAACAGTTACAGAGACCGTAGACCTGGTGGTCTAAGCCTGGTAGAATTATTGGAGATGGAATGACTTATCACCAGTGTGTGAGGTACTAATGAAGAGCCCCAATTCAGGAAGGGGCACCACTTGGAGGTCAGGATGCCAGGGTAAAGCTGTCCCTGCAGGGTGCTCTTTAGGGTGTATCTCCCTAGTCCCTAACCATTACAGTTAAGTTTTCTGAAGGTGGTTTTGCCATTTTAAATAATGCTGTGCTGAACATCCTTGTAGCTTCTCTGATTAGTTTCTTAGGATAAATTACTATAAATGTAATTCATTGCTGGATCATAGGACCCAATGTAAATCTTGACATTTAAAATATATGTATTTCTTTTCTTGAGTAGATAAAATATGCAGGTGATTTTTAAAAATTCAGAGAGGGCCACCCTCTCCCTACTGGGAGCACACCTGTGCCTTTCCCTCCCCCTTCTTTATCCACAATAGTCATGCATCTCCTAAACTCTAGGGGACCCCACGGGACTTGCAACCAAAGGAGCAATGGGCAGCAACAGTTCTTCTGGACTAACCCCCTGAACTTATCCCCAGGTCCCCTTTTTTCTGACTCTCCAGTGAGCTGACAGCAGCTCCACCTAGCCTCACTCCTTTCCCATAACATTTCCAGAGAGCCAAAGCAGCCCTGCCTAATCTCTCTCCTATTGCTTCTTCTATCCTAGGCTCTTCTTTGTTTCACTGTCCCCAGCTTTAATAAGTGTACTCTCAAAATAAAATGAAATTCAGACAGTGCTAACAAAGGGTGTCCATCTATCTCCCATGCCTGGCCCCCAGTTGTGTGGACCGTGCCTTAGAAAAAAATGCTGTAACTAGTTTATGGTATATTTTTCCAGAAATATTCTGTTCACATAAACATATATGCTTCTCTTCTCGCCCTCTTTTTTGTTTTGTTTTAACACAAATGGGAACTTTTTTATATACACATTTAAAAATAGTATTTTTCTGTGTGTTTATATTGTAATATTTATGCCCACACTTGGAGGGTTGAGAGGTCTTGTCTGAGCTGCAGTGTGCAAGGCACAGGATTAAGTCATTGGGGAAGGGACGAGGTTTCCAAAGCTGGGCTCTTCCCCCAGGACGCTTTGCAGTCTCTTGGGGAAAGGGACTTGTGGGGAGCCTGGGCAGGAAGTGGAAGTGGTTGCGGCTGTCAGAGGCTGTCACAGACTGTCACAGACTGTGGGGATTTCGGGAGGGCCTAGGCAGCCTTTGTGTGAGTGGGTGGGAGCCACAGACTCTCTCTCTCTCCTGAACCTGAAGTAGAGGCCTGGGCTGCAGCTGGATGCGGGAAGCTGGCTTCCCAGGGAATCATGGGAGTGAATGCAGGGGCACATCTACGCTGTCTCTGCTTCCTCTTTGATACCAGGCTGGATATGCTCCTTATCCTTTTTCCCTTTTTCCCCCCCCAGAGGCTCATCCAAAACAGAGGAAGCCTGTGAAATCTACGCCAGAGCAGCAAACATGTTCAAAATGGCCAAAAACTGGAGTGGTACGTGACCTCTGCTAGGGCTCCTCTCTGCTGCATTCTCCTCTTTCCCTCAGCTTCCATTCCCCAGGTCCTGGCCGGGAGCTCAGCCTCCCAGCCCCTCTCGTTTTAGGCTTCTCCAGCATCACACGCCTGTGGGCCTGCTGTCTGATCATTAGCCCGCTGGGTTACTTTACCACTTGAACCACAGGGCCGTGGAGAGAGGGTGGAAGGGTTAGGACAAATAGATTATTGAATCCAAGCAGATCCATGTGGACTGATGAGCTCTTTGAGGGGTTTCTCCTTAGATTCATAATTTCAGGTTTTCCTGGAAACTGTCTCAAACTGTTTCCATCAGAGTCTGAATTCTGGGCTGGGGGGATATTCAAGTGGTTCCAGTAACATTGATCACAGTTACAGTTTATTGAACACCTCACTAAGCACCAAGCATGCATTATTTAATTGAATCATCGCAGCAACCCTACAAGGGTCAGTACCATTCATTAATTTCCCCATTTTATAGATTAGAAAACTGAGACTTGTTTCAGCCCCTTGCCCAAGGTGCCACAACTAGTGAGTGACAGGACGGAATTCAGAAGCCAGAGCTCTGACTCCAGAGCCTGAGTGTTTAACCTGCCCCTATGTTGCTTCATGACCTTTGGAGCTGAGTAACTTGGGTTTGTGTCACAGCTCAGACTGACCTTGTTACCCTGGGGAAGTTACTTGGCCTCTCCTCATGTGTTTCCTCCTCAGTACCACAACAGGGAAATAGTAGCCACTGAATGGGGCTGTAGTGTGGGTTCATGGAGATGAGGCCTCACCAGCAAGGGCGGGCAGCACTCAGTAAATGTGATGGCACAGCATCATACAATGCTGAAAGGGCCGCCACCTGGAAGAGGTCACCCCAGGTCAAGCACCTCCTGAGACACTCACAGCCTGTGTTGGTGGGCGGAGTGTTATCCAAGTCATGGCTCTTCTGGCTTGGCACTGAGTTGTCAAGGCTGGAGCTTGGTTGGCAGGGAGGGGCTCCATGAGGTTGGAGAGGTAGGAGCTCTCTTGCGGAGATGCCTGAAGGCCTGGAGGAGAGGTTGGAAAAGCCAGCACATTTAGTTCATAATATAAATTCAAGTTCATAGTATGACTTCAAGTGTCAGCAAGATTGGATCAGAGGAATCAAACGAAGACATAGTTTGGAACCCAGAGAGGACTTTTCTGACCAAGAAGGAGATGAAACCTGGTATGGGACCATGGAGGCAGGGTGTAGAGGCACAAGGTAAAATCAGTTATTATCATTTTCTGAGAATGTTTCATCTTCCACAAAATACATTGTACTAAAGCCAGATGCTATGTATATTTTTATGCTTCTGAGCTCAGAAAGTGCCTTAAAAGAAAGAGTATAGTACTTATTTTTCAATCACATAGATGTTGCTTTTCCCCTAAAATTTATAACTGCCCCCCCCACACACACTATACAAACAAAATTTCTAGGGTTTGTTTGTTTTTACCTAGTGATATTTTACCTTTTCTGGAAATTTTACACTCAAGTTTCTAGCCCTTAAAAATAATAACGAACTCACACATGGTAAAAACCTGGGTGGCTTTGTGTATCCTGCTGCTCTGCAGCTACAGGGCAGGGTCCAGGCCCACTCGTCCTCTTCCAGCTCAGAAATTCTGTGACTTGGACTCAGCCGGAGGAGAACGAAGGGACACAGCCTCAGAACTGAGCTGGAGGTGGCTGTGGAGGTTCCAGTTAGCACAGTCCCCACCCCTGGAGGGGAGTGGTCCATTGTCTCCTGCGAGTCAGTTAAGGAGATGAGGCACATAAATAGAATGGGTTGGGACCCATGGAAAGTGACAGTGAGCATCTGAGCATGACAGACTGGGCTTCAGGTGTGTGGTATCCACTTGTCCCCGCGTGCTTAGGATCTTGGGGTCTATGTCCTATTTCCCTTTCTGGGCATGAAGCTCCTGGAGGGAGCAGACCCTGTGTCCCTGCCTCCCATGTACCTCACGATTAGTGTGGTGCTTTGCCCACACAACCTGCAATGACTCTACACAAGGGACTAGAATGTGGACAGAGGCAGAGGAATGTAGACAGGAAGAACTGGGAGTCATGGGGGAAAGAAATGGGACTTGGAATTGGGAAGTGTTTCAGAGTGCAATCACGATTTCCCCTCTCTTCTCCAACACCCCCTCCCGGACCCCTCCCATGATTCAACCTACTCTCTGCCTTTGGTGGTTCCCAGCCCTGTGCTTCCAGGCTTCCCAGGGGGCACCACTCAGTTCAGGAGGCCTGAGGTCTAGGTCCAGACCTCTGCTCACCCAGGCCACTCTCTTCCTTTCTCCAGGGTCTCTGTACTCTTAAGAGCTCCCAGGGCACTGTCTGTGTCTTGCAAAGCATGGTTCCCCACTCAGGCTAGCATCACTTTTTTCTGTTCCAGCTGCCGGAAACGCTTTCTGCCAGGCAGCCCAGCTGCATCTGCAGCTCCAGAACAAGCATGACGCAGCCACCTGCTTTGTGGACGCCGGCAACGCATTCAAGAAAGCTGACCCCCAAGGTGAGGGCCTGTAGGCCATCAGGCCTGGCTTCCCAGAGTACCAGCTGAGCGCTCTACAGAGAAGTCCTCAGGTTTCCATGGGCTCAGGTTTTCACCAGTGGCTGACATGCGATAGGCTGGCAGGGAGGCACTCGCTCTTTAATTTCAGAACTGGCTCCCTTCCGGTTGGCATTTTCGTCCTGCTCCAAGCCTCCTCCTCTTCTTTCTACTGTGTGTGCAGCTGATCACTCCCTTCCCAAAGCCTGGGAGCATTTGGGAGTGGGAGTTACATTTCAGACCCACCGCATGCCAAGGGGAGAGGAAAATCTGTTCTGTTGTCAGAATTAACATGCAGAAGGGGGTAGGAGGGCTTCTGAGACCAGCCAGGTAGGAGTCGCTGCTGAAAAAGGAGAGGAAGTTATCCTAACCTGGCTTCCCTACCCAGGCGGGAGGGATAGGAGAGAAGAGCCTGGGATATAGTTGCCAGAGAACAAATTTCTTCAGATGACAGCATGTTGGGGACAGAGCCCTCATTGGATCTGACTCATCATGAGAAAACCATTTTGTCCTACTGGGCTCATCCGGAAGGGGAAACCCAGTGGGTACCAGACTTTCAATTTCATGGAGCTGGGATTTTAATTTACTTTTTTAATCTTGGTGCCAGACATAGGTTGCTAACTTAATTTTAGCAAGCAAAGACATTTTTAAAAAAAGACCATCTATTGTCACTCTCCTCTCTTAAGAGAATGGGAAAGACATGAGTTGTTTTATTTTAAAAGGAGATGCTTAATTTTGGAATAAAGGCCTGTCCTTCCCAAGAAGGGACAGTTGGCAACAGTACGCACAGGTCTCTGCAAGGGTCAACGAACACTGGTTCACACACAAGCTCTGGGGGTTGCTGGCAGGTCCATATCGCTGTCAGGGACATTTATTTAATTCCCAGGATTTGATCTCTATGTAAACCAAGTAGCTTTTCTCTGTCCCCAGACTTAACCAGTCACTCCTCTGCCACTGGGTGTCTCACAGATGGTGGTGTAAGTTGAGCCGGGTGGTTCAGTTGGTTAGAGCATCATCACATATACCAAAAGGTTGTGGGTTCAATCCCTAGTTGGGGCTCCTATGGGAGGCAACCAATCAGTGTTTCTCTCATATCGATGTTTCTTTCTCTCTTTCTCTCTTTCTCTTTCTTTCTTTCTTTCTTTCTTTCTTTCTTTCTTTCTTTCTTTCTCTCTCTCTCTCTCTCTCTCTCTCTCTCTCTCT